TTTAATGTTATGACCTTAAGATTCATGGGAATTCAATAAATCCTCAAGGCTGTTCTGCCTAAATTTAGATACATTCTTTTTTTTTGCATCAGCTGCTTTTTACTATCTCTACTGATTTTGCTGTCTTTTGCTCAGCATCAATACACTTCTCTCTGTGAAAGTATTGAATACAAATATCTTAAGGGCAGCTGTGAGGAGGATGGGGCCAGACTCTTCTCAGTGGTGCCCAGTGACAGGATAAGGGGCAATGGGTACAAACTGAAACACAGGAGGTTCCATCCGAGTAAGAGGGAAAACTTCTTTACTCTGAGGGTGACAGAGCCCTGGAACAGGCTGCCCAGGGGGTTGTGGAGTCTCTTTCTCTGGAGAAATTCAAAACCCACCTGGATGGTGTCCTGTGCAACCTGCTCTAGGTGAACCTGCTTTAACAGGGGTGTTGGACCAGATGATCTCCAGAGGTCCCTTCCAACCCCAACCATTCTGTGATTCTTGTGTGAATGAAGGATTACTTTAAGACTGTAAAGGACAGAGTGAAGTGAGATCAGCTGTGAGTATCAGCCAAATTTCTTTGGACCTTTTTTACTCCTCCCAACATTCAAATGGGTCAATACCAACTACCCAGCAGATACAAAGCATAAAAATAGCTGAATACCCTCTTACTTGGTGTGCCCTGAGCTCAGGAGTTCATAACCTGTCCGAAGGCTGTGAAGATTTCCATCAGGTTTACTCAGTTTCTGGACCACTGTGAAACATATGACCTGACTCAAGTGGCTGCAGAGGGTATATGAAACATAAATCTCATACTGAAAAGGCAAATACATCCAATTACTGTCTATGGAATAATTAGTATTTTTTACAAAAATCTCATGGTAGTGGACAAATAGCACTTCTGAACATAAATTGCTTCAGGCCCTAGCAGATACATAACTCCTTTTAACACTTCAAAACAATTGTTAAAGTTATCATGAAGGTCCTCCCTTTCCAAGATGCTCTCTTGAGTGATTTCTCTGGATTACTCTCGCCTTTCTGTCTAATCTCTCTGTTGGCTTCCCACTCCCACACCCTCTGTACTAGGGACTGCCAGACTGGTCATTTCACTTTGCAAGTGCCTTTGCATGTGCACTTGCTTTGGTGTCGTTGCCCTTTGTAGCACGGTCTGTGAACTGCACTTGACGTGATGTTACTTAAATTAATTTTGATGTTGCAGTATAATTTCTGCGGTTCTTCATTCTGCAATGGTCTTGACAACCGATTTGCATAATCAGTGGGTAGGAATTTGTTTTTAATGTTGATGTTCCGATTAGCTCGATTCAGATAAATAATAGAAGGTTGTGAAGATAACACAACATGGCATGAACTGGTGAAAATGATTGTAAACAGAATAAAGAAGACAAATGACAGTCAGGTTCCATGTTTATTTTTATAAAATGTAAGCAAATACTATTTCTAGTTTCTGTCTTCTTGCACTGTGACAGCTGCTTGAAATTTAAACATATGGATTTATTCAAATATTAGTCACTCTCACTGCTTCCCAAACAAAGAGAAAGAAGCTTTTTAAATTTGTTTTCTGCCAAGCATTCTTGATACAGCAGGGTAGCACTTTCCCAACTCTTACTTGAATTCTTCTTTCCTTCTTTCATTCCAAAGGCAACCTTGTGGACCTGCATCTTTGTCATCACATGAGGGAATACCTAACACAGGTTTTCATTAAATTTAATGTAGAGGATAATTCTGACGTTTGGCTCTGCCCCTTCGTGTATCCCACTCCCCTCCCCCTTTCATCTCCTTTCTCCCATCCTTAACTTCTGATGGCAACCGACAGAAGACAATTAAGTGAGAAACAGCAGCAATTAAATTGAGCTAATAATGAAGTTACTGTTTACCTGTTCCATGCATTAGAAACCCAAGATTATTTTACTGTGAAGTGATACAGCACATTTCTGTTTCCTGCTTGAGGAGGAACATACACACAACTGTCCTTTTCCAGTCATCTCTGCAGGGCAGGACTTAAATAATGTGGGCAGTGAAACCAGAAAACATTAATTTCTACATCTTAAGAAGAGCAGACTTTCCTCAATAAGGGACCAATTAGAGAGAGAGGCTGCTTAAACCGATCTTTTTAGGGCATTTGCTAGAGTACCAATTTGTATAGTAGGACTGAAAGAGATTAGCGGAGGATGAGTCATGAAGCATGCTAGGAAATGAAAGAAAGATTGAATGCAGGAGAGGACAGAAAGGAGGAAATAGGAAAGAAAAATAAATGGCACAGTCAAGAGTAGAAAAATACATTTTGGAGACTAGAATCATGAGCAAAAAGTGTTCTATAGGCAAAGTAATCATGACATAAGGGTGTTAGTTGGGAAAATGCAGAAGCGTCAGAAAAACAGTCAACCAGAGTGATTAAGTGAAGGAATACGAAGCATAGAAAATACATGAGAAGATACACAATCCAGACAGCAGAAGAAAAGAAAAAGGCAGAATAATATTTACTTTTAAAGCATTTAAATAAAATAGGTTTGGGGGCATTTCTATATTTAGTTGACTTGGGATAGCATGGACGAAAGGGAGCTGGAAGAGAGGTTGTTTGCATACCTACTAGAGTAAAAGGACACAATGAGCCCTGCTTGTCTGCCTGGGAGAAGGCAAATGGCAGCATGGACAGTTGGGAGCGTGAGCTCCTGAGTCCTTGGTTCTTACGTTCTCGTAGTAGCGGTACGAGGACAGCTGCACCTTCTCACTAGGCAGGTAAAAGAAGTGCCCTCTTCTAGGCCACGGCAAAGAACGTGTCTGACCTGCCTCACCTGGGACGGTGGGAAGTAGAGCTGGCTGGATGAAAACGTAAGCGTCAAAATGCGCATTGACGTCATTGTCATGATAGAATTGAGTAACTTTAAAAATGCAGTGGAAAAGAATAGCTGTTAAAGCTTTTGCTTTTATTTTGAAAGCAAACTTAATTCTCTGTTCGGTTTTGTTTGGCATTTTATACTATTAAAATTTCTCCGTGCTTACATGCTTTGATATAAGCGTGCTAGCATAGCAAATACTGTAGCACTTTGATTTTATGTTCTTCAGAACTTTAGTAATGCTTCTGTTACAATCCTTTCTGCAGTAAGGGTATTATTTTATGCAGACAAGGGTAGGATTTGAATAATAACTTGGAAAGTTGATCAACGGTCTCTTCAGCTTTTCAGACAATTTATTCTACTAGGTGAGAGACAAATGCTGTCTGTGAAGTAGGCATATCTGAAATAGGTGATTATTATTAGGTGATTTTTAATAGTCCTATCTACAAACAACAATGGAAAAGACATTTCCGAGTACTACAAAAACGTGCAGAGAATATTATTAACTATGATTACTAATGCACTATTAACATTCAGTGAGCAGTGATGTTTTGCTCTTTAGATCAGTCAGACTCTTGATGGTATTCTTGTACTCTGGATAGTCTTGCTTGGAATAATGAATACAGAATTAAGTAGGCTTTGTCAAATAGTCAGTGGCCATTTGTACACCAACTATTTCATGCTATACATAACTTGCGTGGACTTCCCCCCTTACTCATAGCACAGAACAGAAGTTGTTCCATGCCAATAACAAGAGAAATGAAGAGGACCGATCCAGCTGAATTGGGTAGAACAACCACCAGCCGTTTATTTCTTCCATTTCAGTTACGGTTTGCCTTGTTTCAGAGATTTGAAAAGTTCAGTGCCTCCGTTTACCCTTGGCTTCTTGGTCAGAGGTGTTAGGTAGCAGATGGGACGCAGACTTTTGAATCCTTCCCTCTACTCCTACTGTTTATTCCTTTCTCTGAAATACTGAGTTTTTCAGTGGCACTTGGTGGACATAAGTCATGACCCAAGTTATTTCCAGTGCTGTTTTTCTGCTAGGTAAGACATCATTGGGGAGTTATTCAAGGGACCCCCTCCCATACCTCTGCATAATGGGGCTGTCTTTTTTGAAAGAAAAGAGGGAGAAGGAGATGATGGGTGCATTTGTGTGGACACAGGACTAATTTAACAAGTGGATTCTCAAAGTATTTCTCCTTCAGCCTTCAACAAACCCAAAGAAAAGGGGCAAGAGAGCCATTTCTGTTTACTTGTGAAAATGACTCAATGTAAATATGACCAAAATGAAAGGGTGGCAACATCTGGCAAATTTACTGCAAACATAATTACCTAAAAGTGTTTCAATTTTGTATTTGATAAAACTACTGCTACCATATGTAGGAAATGTAGCTCTCTAAGGAATAGTGGGGATTTTGCTTGTATTGGTTTTGCTTCTTTCTCTTCCTTTTAATTAAAAAAAATAATCTCTTGTGATAAAAACAGAAACTCTTTAGAACTACATTTATAAGCTCTGTGGATAAATCTTATCTGGCAGGACTGGTTTGGCTTCCTTGACAGAATATAAGGCGATACATTCAATTAGTGGTAGGATTTTTAACATGGCTTTTGTCAAAAATGACTTGAGTTTCCCTTCTGTGCATCATTAAATGCAGGAATTAAACTGTGTTCAGTCCATAACAACACACGTTCAGTTTAGTTTATTTGACTAGTATGGACTGTGACGGTTGTCTTTTTGAGTACAAAAGCTTTTGTCGCCACATGATCATCTGCAGAACTTTGCATCATTTTTTAAGTAACACAAATTGATCTCATTTGTGATCATAGTTACAACAGCTTGTTATGAATACACTTGTATGGTACTAAGAGGTCTGTGTGAACTATGAATGATTTTGACGTAGACCTAAATTGTTTAATGTATTTGGAAATTCCATTCCTGATAAACCGGCTCATTCTATGACATATATCATTACAGTGAATGAAGGAACAAGTAGGTGTTACTACAAAAATGTGAACTGTGAATGTGTTTAAAAAGAAAAGAAAGCAAGCTTTCCTGTAAGATATTATACTAACAGTTCTTGCACAATTTATAATTTTGTGTACTTAAATTCCTTCTTAATCTCAAGAGAAGTCAAAACATATGGTTTATTTTTTCAGGAACTGCAGTTTGAAAGACTGACTCGAGAACTTGAGGCTGAACGTCAGATTGTAGCTAGCCAGCTGGAGAGATGTAAGCTTGGATCAGAAACTGGAAGCATGAGCAGCATTAGGTAATGTACAAATTGTTAATTTCCTTGTAATGTAATGAATTTCATCGCTGTTATGAATTACTGCTGAGAACAAGATTGATCATCTTGTAAAAAAAATGTACATCAGGGAGCATGAGGTTTTAGTAGAGTTTGACAATTCGCATTTTGATCTGCTTTTTAAAAAAAAAAATTCAAGAAGAGACTAAATTTCATGCAATCTGGTATCTGGTTTGTCCAGTAACAAAATAGTTGTCACATTCGGAATTAGTTGATTTGCAGTAGTCTGAATGGATTAACAGCAAAACTCCTGTTTCCACTACCAGTACAGCTGCAATTTTCAGCCAGAGCTATTTAGCTATGTATTTGCAGAGATGTATTGATAAGTTTTGTGAACCTGTTTTACTATAATTTCATCATTCAAGGTATTAGAGATGCTGACTGACCTGACATCAAAATGTAATGATAACATATGAATCGCTCTCTTTTCTTAAACATTGGCTTTCTTCAATTTAAGAAATTGTTCTGGTATGTTGTTCGGATGGTGACGAGATTATTTAAGAAATGGTTACAGAAGGAACCTGATCTCTTGGTCAGTTTGGTGCGAGTAAAGATTTTGTAGTTTTGAGCTTCTTGATACTAGTTTCTTTGTTTTCTCAGTTGAACCTAAAAAATGAAAGATGATAGTACTTGAGTTTCAAGGATCAAGGAAAAACTGTGTTGTGTAGACATATCTTCTGGTTTTATCAGTGGAAATATTAAGTGTGATATCTTTTGAATACATAAGATTAAGTATGATATGCCAAGCTTAGTGCCAAGTTTTGTGTGGTACTAGTAGAAAAAATACAAAAATACCTGTCACTACTGGAAAAAACTCTTCCTCGGTTTAAGCAATTCAGAGTACACTTCAATCAAATAAATTATTGTTTTCCTTGATAAGTAGGAAATAATTATTCAGTAGAATGGCAAAGATGCAACAAAAATACTGATGTAACAGTTAAATTAAAAATGGCAGAAGTCAGAAGAATCTTTCACTAATTCAGCAGATGCTATATATGAAATTGACTTATATATAAATGTTCTTAATAAATCAAGTGATAATTAACTCCCTAAGATAAAATCTTACTTCATTTTATATAATCTTCCCCACCAACTAAACTTATATCAACATTAGAGAAACTATATTACTTAGAATTACTTAAGCACAGGGTAGATAATGTTTGGCAATGCAGTACAGTATTATATTTACACCTTAAGTGCACTCCCCCAGCACTTTAAATTTTAAGTATGGTATGACTGCATTTCAAAAAAGCTGCCTGAACTATGTCTGAATAATGCTGAGCTATGTTTGAGTAGTATTATTATTTTAGGATTATTCCAGCCAGTGATACGGAGGCTGGGATATTTCTTGTTTGGAAGGAAATGTTTCCTTGGTGAGCTTCTTCCCTATTGGTAAAGTTATACTTTTGAGTCATCAGCAGTATCAAGGTCACTCAGCTGTTTTTTAAGAGACTCCAGTTATTTGAGCAGTTTAATATTTTGACTACTAATCTCTCTGTGGAATAAATTAGTACCTAGAATAACTGAGATGACTTTATGCAAATTTTTGACATCTGTAACTTGCCCCAGGAAAGTTTTACATATAAGAGTTTAAAATTTCTAACGTTTCAACTAAAAACATTTTAAGTAATACTTGAAACACTGTTGTCCAGGAGAGAACATCGAAAGCTTACGGTTAGATAGCTGTTCTTAGACTTGGCAAGTGATTTAAAAAGGAAATCAATAATAATCTAATGTTGTTTGTGTTGGGTTGTTGTTTCTCCCATACATATTAAATGATCTTTAATTTTCTGTTAGTTTTCAAAATACTAAATCATTATGGGAGGGGGTAGAACTAACACAAGTATTAAGTGAAGTCAAGTATCAGTCTGACTGCTGTGCTGACTTTCCAGTGCTCATCCAGATGTGGGAATATTCCTTTGACATAGTATAGCAAGAGAAAAGGTTGGAAGATAAAGAATTATGTAGTGGAATAATATGTGTTAAGAAAAAAAGTATCTGACTTCGTAAAGTCTTTTGGAGTCTGTGGGAGCAGAAGAGGCTTGCTTAAAAATACTTCTTTTTCATAGATTTGACCTCCTGTGACACTAAGCTTTTTAGACAGACCTGCTTTAAAACAAGGCAATTAATTTTGTGGGGAATAGTAAATGCTTTAAAAATAAGTTTCTTCCTGATACAGAGTAATTTGAGGATTTTTCCATCTCTTATTTTATTCAGCTACTGAACAATTAATTAATTGGTTTAAGCATACTTTTCTGGTGGAACATAAACTAAAATCAGAACTTATAGCTGTTATTACTAAGCTTTTATTGGTAAAGAGCTTTTAAAAACAATCTCTAAAACAATTTATTTTAAATACTGTCATTACTCAAAGTGAATTCCTACCTGTAAGTCTCCAGCAGAAGTGAATATACATTCTTCAGTGATGTCACTGTTGTCTGATGACATGTAGGTTTATTATTCAGATGCTTTTCCTTATCAAGGAATAATCAAACTGGACTGATTGTAATCAGCATATTTTAATATTGGGAAGTTAGGTTTTTTTTTTTTTTGCTGCTTTTAAGTAATTCATTCAAAATATCTAAAAGGAATTTCTCTTGTTAATATTTGTTACTTATTCTGTTAGTACCCAAGTATCTAAAACCAGTATGTGGAGCAGCTATCCATACTTGCAATTTTATTCCAGCTAAAACAGCTTATAGGGGTGTTTTCTGCTATATCTTGTTCTAACATCTTAAAACAACTGCAGATATACACAACAAGTACTTACAGTGCCCTGCATTGTGGAGATACCACGAAAACTGATCTCAGCTTTACCTCCTTGGCATAGTAGTTTCATGGAGTCTTTCTGTATGTTGTAAGCTTGTGCCCTTGAAACCAGGTTTTTAAGAACACGCTAAAAGGCTGCTATTTCTGGCTTCAATTTTGCTTTCTGTACTCTTCTTGCATATTTAACGCTTGGCCCATAAGCAGTTGTGTATCCAGCTGTACCCTGAAGCTCCATGTGGCTCAATTTTCAGTCCTTAAGGCCTTCCTGTATAACCTTTTCTTGTCCTAGAAATCAGGATTCAGAAAGTAATGTGAGGTGAACTTGCACAGTACAACGCAACTCTGCACAGAATTATTCAGCCTAGATCCGTAACAGGAATCACTGTGTCTTACACTGGTATAGCTCCACAGCCCAGATTGATCAAGCCTGGTGAGAGGCAGGTCTAAGTAGCCAGGAAGCAATCTGGCATTCCTAATTTCTGTTATACAAAGCGGTATCTCGGTAGTGTACTTTGCCTGTAGATGTGCCAGTTTGTTCAAAAGAGATTGGATTAGCCAGAACTGACGGCTCTATCCAAAGCTCTGATTGCGACAAGTCTTGCTCAACTGAAGGGACGCAAACACTGTTCTTCCACAGGACCATTCACTAACCTTGAAGAATTGATTTTGAACATGCAAGGAAAACACCGCAGCTTTAATAATGTTCATCATTTCTGTGCCTGCCTATCTCTCAGCCAGGCCCCATCAAAATAGCCAAAGTAAATTTTCTTTGTCATATCCTTGATCAGTAGTCATTTTTTAGAGGGTTAGGGCGCTATATTCACTAGGAATTGTACCAAAAGGACTTGAGTGCCATCTCTTCAGGAGCAGGTTCTTGGCCGTGAATCAAAGAAGGAATCAATGGCTTCTGATAAAGCTGAATAAAATGCTTAGACCATTAAGTAGGACAAAACTTAGGGAACTCTTCTATGCCACAGTGTTTCCTGCTGGCAAATTCTGACCATTTCCTTACTCAGCCTGAGGAGTATTAAAATTTCAACATGCATTGCCTAAGGAGCCAAGTCATATTCTATACTGCTCCATCCCTCTGGCTGAGGTGCTTATTCCTTCTGAGTCAGATCCATCAATCTGCCACTCCCTTTTGTACAGAGGGCAGTTAGATGCCTGCATATCTTAAATCTCTAATAATTTTAAGCCCATATTAATGTGTTTCCAATTTCTGAATTTCCCATGACTACATCGTGGAGTTCCTCAAAACAAAAGCTGATGAAAGTGAGAGTGTTTTTTCCTTTCCTTCCAGAGATGAAAACAAAATCTCTGAGGCACTTTGAAAATTCAGCTACGTTTTCATTTTTCTTTTGAAAGAATTCTGACAAAATAGTGCCACAGAATGGAAAGACTCAACAAACAAGAAAATAGATTGCATGCATATACATCTAACATATATGAAAGCTGTGCCTTTACACAAACAAATATCCTTTGGACTTTGTTGAAGAACTGTACTTACTTGTTAGTAAATCCTTAAAACTTTAAAATAAGTTTCTGTTTCACATTCTTTATCACTGTTTTATGTGAGCAACTTATGTTTGTTTACTTATTTTTTGATGGAGCCTTACTGTTTGAACTCAGGAATGTAGCTCAAGCATAGCCTACTCTTTTCTTTGAATATACAGTTTGCAGATTGGTCAGGCAAGAGAATTTTTCTCAACTGAATTTCAACCCCCCGTTGAAATTAGTGGAAGTGTTTTGCCATTTGCTATTGAAAGTCTCCTGAAAAGACTGGTATTTGTGTATGAGTGACTCAAGCAACACACTAAAGTTTCTGTATTTTACAGGTAGCAAAAATATAATCTAATTTACTAAATTGCATGGAAAGCTTACCTGCTTTGTATATGTTTTCTTCAGTGTAGTTCTCTCTCCTGGAGATGCGTATGTTACTCACACTTTATTACTGTGAAAGTGATGTTTTACATAGGTGGATACAATTTTTTGCAAATTATCTGAAAAACCATCCAGCAAGTCTAACTGATAACCCGTAAGTTCTTTCATGTCAAAGAATTTGAAGAGAGAGAGATTAAATGCATGGTGACATAGGTAGACAATTTATATTGTGTTGGTCAAGTAAATAAAATCACAGTTATAGTTTTCCTTTACAGCCGTGGGCATTAGGTCTAATTTAGGCTACTTATTGTAGA